TTCCATTGGCTAAAACAAAAACACTCAAGCCAGAAAACACCTAAAAATTTGCAAAACATCATTCCTGCTGATGGAATTCATCTTGATGATCTACCTGTCGTTCCTCTTGATGGAACTTTAACCCATAGGGTCTGGACCATCAGAATTACAATGCCCTTATTACCTGATATGTAAGGGGCCTTCATAACTGCTACATCAGGGGTAAGCACCCCTGGCATCCCAGCTGTAATGTAACTGCAAATCCCATCAAGCCTTTGGGAGTCATGGCTGTGGCGGTCAGACTCTTGAAATGCATCATGGGACTTGTAGTTGCACAACATCTGCAGTGCAGAGGTTGCCCACCCCTGTGCTACTTAGACAAATACCATCTTACATGTTTAGGAAACATGACAATAACAAGCTCTACAAATGGAACCATTTTTCTTACTGCGGTTGCACAGCTTTCATCTTTGATTTACGTAAATTCCTAATAAACCTCCATCTGCAGATTCCCCACAACAAATCTCTTCCTGGTGACACTAAGGTCAGATTGTCTAATACATTTACAGCCTGAGACTTCTATTTATTTTATTTTATGTCTGAAAGGCACCCTTCTATATTAGCAGCAGTCCCGTCCTCATCTAGTCCATCATTGACAGCAACCTTCCCTGCTTGAGGATGTCAATTCTGGATGGATGGCCCCAACCAGATAGATAGATGTATGTCCCCCTTCCCCTACTGGAGCAATGACTTCACAGCCCTGATGGCAGTCCCACATACATGCATCTGAAATCCACCTAGGGTGAAACACACCTCAAACTAGAGATACCTTATACAGTATATATATATATATATCAACGTAGAAGAAAAATCGCAGTATGACCCCCAAGATGCTGGGGTTTTTTTCCTAAAACAATAAAATTAATCTTTTTCTGAGTCCTTCTCCATATGACACTCAAGCTGCAAACACCAGAAAGGAAAATTTCAACTTTTCAGTTCAAAAAGTGACATAAAGAGTTAATAATTCAGGCAAAAAAACATTTTTTTGCCCCCCCCCCCCTCCTCCATGTGACCCAAAGAGATGCCGCCAGAGGCCACTGCCTGAGCCCTATGACTAGTCACCACTGCCTAGTCCCTATGCCTCATTATAGGGACAGCCCCGGGTATGATTACATGTGGCTTGGGATAGATGATTGTGGATGCTGGAAAGACACATCCAACAACAGTCATCTATTCCAAACCGCATGCAAATGTACCATGTGTGGACAGATGCAGCCGCTGTCACCCTGTCATTAACTTCAATGGTTGCAGCGGCCGCATCTGAACAGGGACACTTGGTATTCCTGCCACAAGAATCCACAGCCTCCAGTTTTCAGGGTGATAAATAGGCATTTTAAAAGTAAGCTGGCATCTCAAAAATGTCGTAAAACAATTGGAACTTACCTGTTCTTTTTAAAGGGAAAGCTGTATTTTTCCGATACCCTGCTAGACAGTGCTGGGTGGATGGGGACTAAGAAGGCGTTTCATATAATTTCCCAAAGCCCCTGCATATAGAGCAATGTGCTGTCAATCTAAAGGTCTGTGGGCACTACTAGATGTAGCTATTCACTGGGAAAGTTATCAACTGTGCCAGCATGTAAGCAGCTACAGCAGCAGCAATGGTGACAGCACTGCAGTAATTTCATTGCAGAAGGAAGAAAGTTGTCACCCTATCAAGTGCCTATCCAATGGCTCTGACGCAGGACCAACAGGTATTTACAAAATGTTCCAGGGGGTACTTAGAATAGCAGCAAGATGGTCTTACTGGCATGGACAACCTATACCAAATATGCATCTATATAGGCTATAGTTTTAAATACACTGAAATGTGATCAGCACTTTGTTATCAGGCTGGATATCTGCTATTCCTGTGAATCCAGAATTATTTTCCTACCATGCTATATATGTCCCATATATTTACTGCTCACCCTCTCATACACGCAGATTATAATTGCCGGCTGACTCATTTTTCCTATTCAAACACATTCTTTCTATAGATAAAGACCGGCAATACACAATAATTACACATATAATGTACACACGTGCAGCTGGGCACTTCACAGTCTATTTTTTCCCACGTGTGAATCTTCCGTGAATCCGTGACAGATCTGATCAATATTTATTTTATGCATCTGCGTGTTTAATCGCCTGGACGCTGAGAATGGCGCTCTCCCTTTATAGAACATAATAAGGCGACATCATGTTAAATTGCACGTATACATTCTCTAAGCTTCTGCTGTCTTTTCAGTGTTGGTCATAGAGATCCGATGATACGAACGTTCATTTCACGTATTGTGTTCAATAAATCTGCATAATGTATAGAAGCAATCTGTGTCAGTTAAAGGAGCTCACAATCTAATGTCCTCATCAATTGGGATGGGCTCAAGTTTGGTCAATGATAGTGAGTGACCTATATGACCATTTAAGGCCAATGATGTCACCAGAATCTCGCCCCTTTGTTTGTGTGTGGCTGCAGGGTGGGAAATGCCCCGGCCACAGCTGATTGGGCATGCCTTAACCACCAGGTTTGTATTACTTCAGTTCACACCAAGCCGATTCTTACTGACCTGTGCCATACCAACACACATACTAGAACAATAAATGCTTCCAGGGAAAACCCAACACCCAAAAAAGTGTATTAAAATGTATTTCTGGGCAATATATATATATACAGGGCCACCATTAGACAACTTGGGGCCCTATTTACCCTACCTGCCAGGCCCCTGCCAGGCCCCCGCCCCCCCAACTACTCTTCCCCCCTCTTCACCTCCTGCATCCCTCTTCCTATAGTGCTCATCTTCATAACATAAGAGGGGGCTGTTCTGTAGTCCAGCAGGGAAGAACTCTGGCAGCACCAACACACTGATTGGGATTTAAGTGCAGCAGAGGCACTGTGTTGTCAGCTCACAAAGGTTAGGAGCTCACTGGATTTCTAGTAGGATCAACAGATGTTTTTTCAGTACTTGCAGAGCTTTTCATTGGCTTAGAAGATCCATCAGCACCAGACAATTGCCCTGCGCTCAGGATACCAATCCATATGCCTAGAGTGCCAAGCTGGTATCAATGATCCTTCTGGTATTTGTGTTTTAAATCATTACAAAACGAGCTGCACCACTCCTGTGACATCCCGGAGGAGCAATGACATTTGTTGCGAGTGCTGCAGGACCACGGACAGTCACTTTTCATCACATCATCGTTCCACCATGCATAGAAGGATCTTGCAAGTTTTAATATATCTAATGTAATATATCCCCCCCCC